CCTAATATTGAAATGTCAAGAGGTGATATTGTACTTGTTTACATTTATTTTTTTATGACTATCACTTTCAATTGTGTATTGTTTATTTTAGGACCACTGTCATCATAGTCATCATTATCATCATAACTTTTGAATACTCATTCAAATCAAGAATAAAAGAACTACATACAAGAACATTTCTCTTGTGTTACAATATTAATTTGAATTGAAGTATGTTCATCGTGTATATCATGGAATTCACCTATTTACTTGCTCCCACCCTAGGTATTTCCAGTGTCTACAAATCTACTAAACAATATCTCGCTACAACCAATATGCTTGAAGTTAAATTCTCATCTAAGAAATAACTCTAAATATCCTCTGATTTATCAAATTTATAGCCCAAACAATATTTCTTTAACAAGCTAACCCTAGTAACAATGCATTCTCTTCTTTAAAAACGTTCAAACCCCATTCTCCCATGTATTCCACTTACATTCATCCACTCATTGATATGGCCGTCCCACTCATCCATGGCGGTCCACAGCAGTTCCTTGAGCTTCAGTTCTGCATGGACTTCCTCTAGGGCGTCGTACTTGGTGACCTCGACCTTGAAGTTCTTCTGGTAGGACTTGTAGGTGAAGGCCTGTTTCTGTAGACCCTCGATCTGGTTCAACATTCTCTTCAGTATTCCCTGGACCTTGTCTTACTCTGCTGTGGAATCCAGGATCTATATGAAAATTTTCTTACATTGGACATAAAGACATTCTATGAATTCAGTGCAAGAAGAACACACAGCTTTAGAGGGGTGCTACATAAACTTAATAAGGTGGTTACTTTATACTATAATCAGATAATACTTTTAAAATTAATTATCAATTTTTTAAAGAAAGAATCATGAAAGCATTGTGAAGCTCTGAAAGTTATTGAATAAAATAAATTAATTAAAAGTTTGATTGTAGTACATTATTATTTGAAAAGCTATTAATAGAATTTCAATGCAAACTCAAAAGATCCCCCCCTCCCAATAATGCTGCCTGTTAAAAGGTAATTAATAATGAATTCATACCTATTCCTTGGACCAGAGGTTGGACCAGGTGACAACATAGAGACCAGTGGAAAAACAAGCAAGAAATTAAGTTGCTTGATATTTAATTACAATTAACCTTATTATATATCGATATTAACAAAGGTTATGGAGAACACTACATGAAATCCGTTCTTATTCTCAACATTGCTCAATTTGATTTTAAAAAAGGGGGGATAAGAGTTTCGTCATACATTTTAAAAAAAAAATAATTTAATTCTAGTTGTAACGCTTTATTTGATTGGATAAAAAAATATTTTATACAGTATAAAATGGGTTGCCTACGTCACAATGACTTGCGTCAGAAACGTATTAATCCGCATGACGTTACATTCAAATTTTGTACAAATTGAAGTCATTTTGTTTGTACAATAATCGTTTTTTTCTTACATTTGATGAATGAAAATTTAATTATAAGGAATGAATTTAATAGCTACCCATTTTATACGGTATAAACTGGGTTGGAACAGTTCACGCTTTTTTATAAACCGCTTCGCGGTTTATAAAGCGTAAACTGCCCCAACCCATTTTATACCGTATAAAATGGGTAGCTATTAAATTCATTCCTTAATTAATTACACAGGAAATAATATTCAAACAATAGGTAACGAAAAAGAAGACAAACAAAAATATTACATATTTAACAAACCTAATTAAAAAAGAAAATTATAAAAAATTCAAATTAGGAATGGAATTTATTTATCATTTAATACCACTTTCAAAAATTGCAATGCTAAATATAGATGTGTAGTAACCACTTTTAAACTGTTATTTACAAATCACTCATTGAGTAATTGTGCCCACTCTATACAGCGTTGCTTCCTGAATCTTGTGATATGGATTTTGTTGTAACGAATGTTGGTAAGATTCTAGAGCTCCCTGGAAGTCCCCACAGATTTGTTGACAGATTCCGAGTATTTGCCACGAAATATCTCTGAGATTAAAAGGTACATAAATCCCGACATCATAGAGCAGCAGAGTGTGTAGATCCTGTAGAGATTGTTGTGACCTGACTGTGTCACCCAGTCTGTGGTGATTCAGTATAAACAACATGTGTAACATCACTAGAGGTGGAATGAACAATGCAATTCTGCCATTCTCGTCACTGATCTTCTGCTCTAGAATTAGTTCATCAATGTATGTGTACTCACTATTTAACACAATATCTAGAACTAGAGCGATTCTCATTTTACGATTCAGAGACATCCCCACAGTGCAGCGTGTGTACATATGTACATTTACATGATCACAATATATGATGCATGGATTTGTCATTCTGTCCTGAGCTTTTTGCAAACAACTAAGTGACTGTTCAAATCTACATGTTTTGTAATAATACAATGCAAGATATACAATATCTGAGACACAACCTAATGTACATGACAGTTTTAACAATCGGGATACGTAATTTGTTGTGTAATAAACCTTATTACGATTTTTTTGTTGATATACATCACACAGTTTCAGCATGGCAGTGTTTCGTAATATCTCTGATGTTAAAAATTGTATTGTGGCCTCCTGGTATGGCGTCAAGCTTTTATTCATCTCTGTTTCAATTTTCTTCATGAGAGCTGAAAATTCTAAAACACTTGAAACTACTTGGCCAAATTCTTGGAATTCCTCAAATAAACTTATGTCAAGCTCAGTGTTAGTAATGATACTGCTCTCGTCAGTACAGACTCTCAATGTTCTGTATAAGATGGCTTGATTTAGGAACGGTCTTAACGTTTCACTCAGTAGTAGACTTGATATACCCTTGCGATATAATTTATACAACTTATTAAACAAGTCTTTTTGTATGGATTCAGTTAATTTAAATCGGAACATATTGTTTTGTGGAATAAAAAAGTTTGGACATTCTCCAATAAATACCCAATATATCAATAATTTAAAGCATTGCCAGAAACAAGGCAATAAGTTTTCAGGAGTCCAATTTAAGGAATTATTAGTCTGAATTAACCATAATAAAGCAGTTTTTAAGAAATATGAACATAGAAATGGCGAACTTTCATCAAAATTAACAACTTCTTTTAAAAATACTTTTAAAAGACCATAACATAAAAACTGAGTGTGATTCATTGAATAAACAAGTTTTTGCTCTGCCAAAGAGAATGAAATTCTCCATTCAAGAATGCTGTCAGGTGTGCTGCCGATAGGAACAACATGGAATCCTGATCTTAATATATCTGATATAACTACATCGGATGGCCAACCTTGTTGACGACATCTGGCTCTAAATTCGCTCTTGCGTACATCTTTGGGGACAAATAAAGAAATTTGTAGACACTCTTTTTTCTTAAATTTCTTTATGTATATTTGAAGTTTACACTTTAATAAGGGTGAAACAATGTTTGAATAGATAATCAAGTCAAAAATAAATATTTTATTAATGTTTAAAATGTGTGTAACGTAACACATGACAGACATATAACGTAACATGACAGACGTGTAACATATTATGACATGATTAAATAACATTTTTGATGTTTAGCAATACAAATAATTAATAAAAAATAAATTTGAACAATTCTTTAAACAATGTTACGAAAAATCATTCTGACATAGAAGGAAAAAAAAACGATTTTTAGGCTACTTTTGATGCAAAAACTGACGACCGTAACACTGACAGACTTCTTTACTTAAGTCAGCCAAGTCACCTTTAAACTTCATTATTTTAGCAAAAAGGTAATGTTATCTTATGAATTTTACTTTATTCAAATTTTTATTCCTTATAAATTTTAAATTTGAATTTTTCTAAGATAAATCTCTGCCATACGCTTTGTAACATACAAAATTTCAACCATGTCTGTCATGTTACGTTATTTCTTGAGCAATACCCGTTAGAAACGAGCCAATAAAATTTATTATTCAAAGCTCATCTTTTATTCTTAGGAATTAGAATACATAAAATAATATTATTTATGAAAATTTTCATGAAATTTTGAAAATAATATTATTTTATATTGATAAAACCTATAACGTAACATGGACAGACGCACGTAACCCTGACAGACACGTTTCAAAAACTGCAAGAAAATAACTACAAAATTGTATTGTTTGAGTTATAAAGACAAATTCTGCCGTATAATACAATAATATGTTTGAATAAAATATCTTTTTGGTTTAATTCACTGAATGTTTAAATCTGAATGCATTTGTTTGATTAACGTAACATGGACAGACATTCGGTTTGTACGTCATCGTTACGATAATATTCGGGCAATGTCTGTCAATTGGTAAGTTATGTAAGAAATTCCAAATTTGAAGTGTTTATCTATTTCATGAAGAGCGTGAAAGTTCATAATTTAAACAAAACGTACAAAATACATCTACTAGTTGACAATCTTTGATGATATGTGTATAAAATCTAAGATAAAGACGACTTATAGTTTTGTGAACGTAACATACTTTTTGTAACGTAACACTTGGACAGACAAGCTTTCGTGGCTTCTCGGAATCTCTCGGTAGCTCTTCCGATAGAAATATAAACACATTTGCATAGAACATTGAAGAAATTTTAAATATTCATGACCTTAAGTCAAATGCATGAGAAAAAGCGTCTCCGAGCTCAATTCATAAATTTGCACGTAACGCCCACTTGTCAGGACAGACACAGGAAGCATCTCACAGATTTGTTAATTTCTCAGCACACTCGCTTTTCTGTTGAATCTGTGACCACTTAATTGATAAAAAAGTAAACTTTCTACCAGTAGACAAGAAAATTAAGAGTGTTTGCATAAGCAATGTCCCATTTTATAGCAATTTACCATGTGTATTGAGAATGACAGACGTTACATTCAAAATATGAGGAGAAATAAAATTCATTTTTTCTTTTATTTGAGACATAATGTGCATTAAAATACTTTTGCATGTTAATTCTATCCTTCCTAAACAGTAGTTAATAAAAATATCCTGGATATACTAGACATCGCGGTATATTAGTCTTTTATTTTGACATGGTTGAAAATGTCCCCCTACACATGCGTGATTCTAGTGAAATTATCAAATTCATTTCAAGAAAAAATAAGTTGATGAAAAAATCTGCTCA